TATCATTATCTTTGTCTTTCCTTTATGGATTTTCAGACCAAGCTGCTGTGATCTCGCATTAAGTATATTTAATTTATCTTGCATCTGATTCCGTGAATGGGACAGAAGAGCAACATCATCAGCGAAGTCCAGATCATCAAGCTGTTTTGTAAAGGTCCACTGAATTCCATTCTTGGTGTTAGCAGTTACTGTTTTCATAGTCCAGTCTATAGCCAGTAAAAATAATAGAGGCGACAAAAGACATCCCTGTCGCACACCTGTTTTATTTCAAATGCATCTGTTAGCTTTCCCTCATGAAGAACTCGACATTTCATGTCTTTATATGTTGCCTTTACTAAGTTGATAATTTTCTGTGGGATTCCATAGTGCCCCATCAATTTCCAGAGAGATTCCCTATCAATGCTGTCAAACGCTTTTTCATAGTCTATAAATCCAATGTAAAGTGGTGAGTTCAGTTCAATGCTTTGCTCTATTATAATACGTAATGTGGCTATCTGGTCAGTACAGGATCTGTTTGACCGAAAACCTGCCTGCTCATCTCTTAGCATTTTATCAATAGCATCTTTTAATCTTTCCAAAATAATTCTACTTAATATTTTTCCAGGAACTGACAGCAACATAATTCCTCTATAGTTTTCACACTCCTGTAGATCACCTTTTTTGGGCAGTTTCACAAGATAGAAAGTGTTATAATACTTTCAAATTGCCAGATTGAACGACGGACTTTATACCGGACACCCCAAGATGGCATCAAAGGCTCACACATAAATCTTCACACAATATGGAAAGTCAAGTTGCCGTAACGGAATGTTTCGGCCTGCTGCAAGGCGTGCGGGACAAGGAACATAGAAGTAAATTACTGCAATCTTGGTTGATCATTTTGGCTTTCTTTACTTTGGTAAGTTAGTAACGTATTTAGTATGGCTCGCAGATTGTTGTTTCAACTGTGGTTCCGCATTGTAGCAGAAACGCTCGGATAAACGTCACATATTGTCTGACTTCTTGCTGGAACTACAAAAATATAGTACTAATGGCACTCGTTTAGCTCTTTTCTTTCTTTCTTTCTTTCTTTCTTTCTTTCTTTCTTTCTTTCTTTCTTTCTTTCTTTCTTTCTTTCTTTCTTTCTTTCTTTCTTTCTTTCTTTCTTTCTTTCTTTCTTTCTTTCTTTCTTTCTTTCTTTCTTTCTTTCTTTCTTTCTTTCTTTCTTTCTTTCTTTCTTTCTTTCTTTCTTTCTTTCTTTCTTTCTTTCTTTCTTTCTTTCTTTCTTTCTTATCTTCTTTTTATTTAGTCTTTTTTAGGAGTATTAAATTTTCATGAAAAACAAAACATTTCTTATTTTATAGTCTCAGAGGTAATTTAAAAATCTGTTTTCCCCTGTTATTAGTACCACTTCAGAAGCTGAGAGAAGAGCTTTTATGGCAATGCTCGAGTGCTCTGATGTCGGTTTTTAACTTTTAGACTTATAAGTATCAAACCTAAACATACGTATACACATAATAAATACAATATGGTCACTGAAAATACTCTAACAGACGCTAGAAGCATAACCATCATTGCTATTGAAATATTCCAGTTTAAAAAAAAAAAAACTATTATTGAACAAAAGAACTATCATCATCAATCAGCAAGTCTTTTACAGAACGTCGCTCTCTTTACGGCACGCCTGAAAGTATCCCTTTCCCTAGCCAGCTCTCCGGCCTCATGCGCTTTCAATGACAATGCATCTTCAATGTCCTGTTTCCATCTTCACTGTGGTCGATCCATGTCTAGCCTTCAGCAAACTGTACCCTCTATCACCGTCTTTTCCAAGCCACCATGACGCCGAATGTGGCGAAAATACTTCAACTTTTGGGACAGTGTGCTGTTTATGAGCCAGTTCTCCTCGATGTTCAACTCGTTTAGAATGTCGATGTTTTTCCTCCTCTTGATCCCTGGTATTCTAAGAATTTTTCGATAACATTTCAATTCAAATGCTCCAATCTTTTTCTTGCCACGGGGAAAATACATGAGCTCAAGATTTTTACTTTAGCCAATTTACCAGTGCTTTGCCATAGATTCTTCATACTGTTTAATCTCTGCATTTCTAATGTAAGGCCTCTTCTGACTTCTTTCGAGCAGTCGCCAGTGTTGTTTACTAAAGAGTCCAAGTATGTGAAATCTGTTACATTTTCTATTTCTTCATTTTTGATTGTGATGTATGGTTTGTGTACTGTATTTACTAAGAACATATAAAAAAAAATTAAATTAAAAAAAAAAAAAAAAAAAGATTCAATTCTTCGCTGTGTTTTTTGACGGCGAGAATTAATTTTTTTCTAAACCTTGTACACTGTTGGAAAGGAGAACTGTGTCGGCTGCATATCTGAGTTCTGGGATAGGATTACTTCCAATTTTTAGTGGACTAAACTCTCACATGCCTCATCACTAATTGCGTTTCTCATAACATTTTTAGCATCCATGTTAAAGAGGAAAGGAGAAAGAATGCAGCTTGTTATTCATTGTAAAGGGATTCCATTAAGTACACCAGATGTTTTCGAAATCCCATGCCTCTCATTAAAAGCCATAGTTTATGGTGTTGCACACAGTCATATGCCTTGCTGCAGTCTATGAAACAAGTATGAAAATCTATCTTGTATTCTTTACACTTCTCTGGGATGATTCCCATATTGAAAATATGGTCTCTTATTCCTCTGCCAGATCTAAAACCAGCTTGCGTTTCTTGTAGTTCATATTCCAATTTATTCTAGATCCTCCTCAGAATGATATGCGAAAGGATTTTTCTGGTATGACTTATTAAAGCTATAGTACGATAATTGTTACACAATTTGAGATTTCTTTTTTGGAGAGGGAAATATAGATTGATCTATTTCGCCAAATTTCCACTCATCATCATCATGTGCATTGCCAGCTGGCGTAAGCGCTTATGAGTCTCCACAGATCACGATCCCTGGTTGCCTGAAACAGCTCTCTTGATGATATCCCTCCATCTCATCGTTTCAACCCATCCAGCATAATCTCTCTTGGTCTGCCTCTAACCCTTTTTCCACTGATCTTTTCAGTTGTCACGATGTTCTCCAATGTCTCTCTTCTCAGTATCTGGCCAAAGAACAGTGTTTGTCTCTTTCTTATTGTTGTATATAGAGATCTACTTCCATTAGCTTCTTTTAAGCAATCGTTGTTAGTTGCTCTGACCGTCCAAAGTATTCGTAACATTCGTCTCAGAAACCACCTCCCTGTTGCTTCCCAATTCTTTCTAATTTGTTCACCGACATTCCAAGATTCGCTGCCATACAACAGAACAGATTCTATGTAACATTTTGGCACCCTCTTATATATCCTCTTGTTTTTCAACTTGAAGAACTATATAAAAAACAAATTATGCCGCACGAGGAGACATCATCGCAAGAGCAGAATTCACATTTGGGGCAGGTAGAATTGCAAATGTTGTTGATAAAGTCATTTACTTCGATCTCAAACACATCCAAAATGTATTGAATAGCACCGTATCTAACAAATTCATCAGTTGTAACTCGTGTATCTAGCAGTGGAACACCTTTGGGGCCCTGCCGAGCCTTGTATGTCCACAAGAAACCCTGAGCGATCTGGAATTGAGGGAGATGGCTTTTCAATTCTCCCAGAACCCCAGAACAGCATCAATACTCCATATTTCGGTGACTAGCTATTTAATCCCACTTCAAAAACTAAAATCTTTCATGACTTCAAGATTATTATCATCATACAAAAAACATTTAACAAGATGTTGGAGATGTACATTACACAAGATGTTGGAGATGTACATTACACAAGATGTTGGAGATGTACATTACACAAGATGTTGGAGATGTACATTACACAAGATGTTGGAGTTGCACATTACACAAGATATTGGAGATGTACATTACACAAGATGTTGGAGATGCACATTACACAAGATGTTGGAGATGTACATTACACAAGATGTTCGAGATGTACATTACACAAGATGTTGGAGATGTACATTACACAAGATGTTGGAGATGTACATTACACAAGATGTTGGAGTTGCACATTACACAAGATGTTGGAGATGTACATTACACAAGATGTTGGAGATGTACATTACACAAGATGTTGGAGATGTACATTACACAAGATGTTGGAGATGTACATTACACAAGATGTTGGAGTTGCACATTACACAAGATGTTGGAGATGTACATTACACAAGATGTTGGAGATGCACATTACACAAGATGTTGGAGATGTACATTACACAAGATGTTGGAGATGTACATTACACAAGATGTTGGAGATGTACATAACACAAGATGTTGGAGATGTACATTACACAAGATGTTGGAGTTGCACATTACACAAGATGTTGGAGATGTACATTACACAAGATGTTGGAAATGTACATTACACAAGATGTTGGAGATGTACATTACACAAGATGTTGGAGATGCACATTACACAAGATGTTGGAGATGTACATTACACAAGATGTTGGAGATGTACATTTCACAAGATGTTGGAAATGCACATTACACAAGATGTTGGAGATGTACATTACACAAGATGTTGGAGATGTACATTACACAAGATGTTGGAGATACACATTACACAAGATGTTGGAGTTGCACATTACACAAGATGTTGGAGTTGCACATTACACAAGATGTTGGAGATGATTACTGCTGTTTTAACTGCAAGCATTTTTAAAAAGGAGAAGAGGTTTTGATATTTATTTGTCAGGAAAAAAACACACACAGTCCAGTCAAATTCTGATACTGATCAGGGGTTTCAGTAAAAAAAAAAAAAAAAACAGCAGACGGTAGTGACATCTAAAAGTTAAGATTAAAAAGTATATACATTAATAGGAAAAGTATATACATTAATAGATTACTTTCCTGCAGGGTCTAATAATAGGACAGTTTGGCGCCACGCTACTTGACCTGCAGATTATTACCGGAACAGAGTTAGACAGCGCCTCTGCTTTCTTGACTGGCTATACCGGAGGATAT